AGGGTGGTGGAGGGGTCATGAAGGGATGTTGTGGGAGAGGAACCCGGGCCCTGGGTGACTGCTCTCCGCTTCCTGCTCTCCAGGGCCTGTCGGGAAAATCAGGGCCGCGGGGAGAACGGGGCCCCACGGTAAGTGCTTCCGGGAGACAGAGCTGGGAGCAGGGTCCAAAGGGGGTGCACATGGGTCGTTCTGACAGTTTGCCCCCCTCTCTCTAGGGCCCACGGGGTCAGCGGGGCCCCCGAGGAGCCACCGGAAAGTCCGGAGCAAAGGTCAGTGGTGCCGCCTTGGGCCTCTCCTCCCAGCTCTCTCTCAACCCCTCTGGCCTCCAGGGAGGCTGGGAAGCAGGGTCTCCTTATTCCTCCCTGACTCTCTCTCCCCCACAGGGCACATCAGGCGGCGATGGCCCCCACGGGCCTGCTGGAGAGAGGGTGAGTGAGTCTTGGAGTCTCCCTGTTCCCGGGTCCCCAGAGCGTCTGGGTGGGGCCGGCTTGTTCCTCCCCGCAGAGAAGAAGCTTGCTTCCCGGCCAGCGCCCCACAACTCAAGCCATCTCTGTCTCTAGGGTCTTCCCGGACCTCAGGGTCCCAATGGATTTCCTGGCCCGAAAGGACCTCCGGTAAGCTGACCTCTGGCCTTTGACCCACCTTGGCTCTGTGGCCCCTTTCCCCCCATTCCCCTCCCCAGCCTGGAGTTCACCTGACACCTGAACCCTTTGCAGGGTCCCTCTGGGAAGGACGGCCTGCCAGGACACCCGGGCCAGAGAGGAGAAGTGGTAAGTCAGACCCCTGATTGTCCGTCTTCAGTCAGAGTGCCCCACGGGAGGGGCACTGTAGCCGGACTGGGGTGGGGTGGTGGGGCCTGCTCTTCCTCCATTGTGCCTGTGGCTCCACTGACCACTCGTTCCTTTCCCCCCTCAGGGTTTCCAAGGGAAGACCGGCCCCCCTGGGCCCCCAGGGGTGGTGGGGCCTCAGGTACGTCTGTCCTTGGAGAGAATGGATCCAGGTGGCGGGGTCTGTCTGTGAGTGTCGCTCTTGCTCCTCTGAATCACACAGTCCTGCCTCTGAGTGGCCTGACCTGGAGCTCTGGGGACGGAGCCATATTGGGGGCTGGGGGTTGGGGCCAAATCCTGAGTTTTGTCTGGTTCTGAGCCTGCCCCTCCTCACTCCCCAACTCGGAGAAGAGACAGTTCTTTGTCAGAAACACAAGGAGCCACAGTGACTCCTCACTGGGGACGGAAGATGGTGCCAGGGGTGGGGGGCTTCCAGGAATTCCCCCACAACCTTGGGGCCAGGATGAAGGGATTCTGGAGGCGGGTGAACGGATGGGACTGGGCGTGGTTTTAAGATGACCAGGCTGGTTTCTTTGGCAGACAATGGGTGGGTGGGGGAAAGGGTCTAAGCCTGGGGTCTCTCTGCCCCTTTCCCAGGGAGCAGCAGGAGAAAGTGGGCCCATGGGGGAGAGAGGCCACCCAGGCCCACCAGGACCCCCTGGAGAGCAGGGACTGCCTGGGACATCTGGAAAGGAAGGGACCAAGGTCAGTGAGAGGCTGGGAAGAGGGGGGGCAGAGACCGGGTTGGTGTTTTGAAGGGGATGGCCCACGGGGGGGTTGAAGGGCAGGGAGCTCTCTGCCCAGTTTTGGCACACGGCTGTGGCTCACCACGTTTCCTTTCAGGGAGACCCTGGTCCCCCTGGGGCCCCAGGGAAGGATGGTCCTGCAGGCCTGAGGGGATTCCCAGGAGAGAGAGGCCTCCCGGGCACTGCCGTGAGTGTCACTTCAGACCCCACTGCTGGGGCCTCACCTGTCCCTGCACCCCGCTCCATCCTTGCCCATCTCTGGCCTGTGTCTCCCCATCCACCCCCCACCCCCCAGGCCATCCTGCTTCCCTGCATGCCTCTGGCACCCCCTTCCCACCTCACCCCTGCTGCCCAAATGTCTGTTCCACAGGGTGGATCTGGTTTGAAGGGGAATGAAGGTCCGGCCGGCCCTCCTGGTCCTGCAGTGAGTCTGGGCCCCTGGGAGCCAGAGGGAGGGGCTTGGACAAGGAAGGGCGTGGGGCAGCATCTGGATGTCCATGGGGTTGGGAAGCTGGAACCAGGGATCAGCCAGGATGCATCTGATTTGGGACTCTTCTCCTGGGAACCGCACTCGGAGGTCTGCCGGTGTGCATGGGCTGAGGTCTCCTTCCAGAGGGTCTGACTCTATCTTTTCCCTCAGGGATCTCCTGGGGAGCGAGGGGGAGCAGGATCTGGGGGACCCATTGGTCCCCCAGGACGCCCAGGACCACAAGGTCCCCCTGGAGCAGCAGGAGAGAAAGGTGTCCCGGTGAGTGTAGGGGACCCTTAGGGAGGGACATTGAGGGGGTTCTCTGCGCCCAGGGGTGGTGGACCAGGGAGGGTTTCCTATGGGGTGGGTGTTGCTCCAAGCTTTGACGCCTCCTTTCACTCTCCATAGGGTGAGAAGGGGCCCATGGGCCCCACTGGTCGTGATGGAGTCCAGGGCCCTGTGGGGCTTCCCGGTCCTGCTGGACCTCCAGGCGTGGCTGGAGAGGATGGAGACAAGGTGAGGGCACCCCCACACCTGGGGCCCAATCGTCTTTCTAGATGAGACTGCTGATCTAGGTGTGATGCCGAGCCCTGTCTTAATATTCTCTTGATTCTCTCCCCCTCCATTGTCTTGTCTGCATGCCGTCTCTTCCAGGGTGAGGTGGGAGACCCTGGACAGAAGGGCATCAAGGGGAACAAGGGTGAACATGTAAGACAATGAAGACTTTGACTTCTCGCCTCTGGCCTCAACCTCTCCCGCCCACTCCCCTCCTTGTCTGCCCATCTGACTCTCCTTTCCCCTCCAGGGCCCTCCTGGACCTCCTGGGCCTATTGGCTCTGTGGGGCAGCCTGGCACAGCGGTGAGTGCCCAGCCCTGGCAGCCTTGAGACTGCCCGTGATTCCTCTTCCGCTCTTAGGGGCGAGGCCGGGTACAAATGGGAACTCTGGGCTTGGTGTCCAGTGATGTGGGGTTTGTGGATAGAGGAGTCTTGACCTATGACCCATGATCTCTGTGTCCTTGCCTCTGGCCCCCTTCAGGGAGCAGATGGGGAGCCTGGAGCCCGAGGCCCTCAGGGTCACTTTGGAGCCAAAGGTGACGAAGGAACCAGAGGATTTAATGGGCCGCCAGGACCGATTGGCCTCCAGGTGCGCTGGGGGATCGGGGACTGAAAGATGGGTCAGATGTTTGCCCCAGACCTGGTCTGGGGTCTGGGTAGGACTGGGTGGTGGGGGAGAGGGCTTGGTGGGACGTGCGGCCTCACTTGGGTCTTCCTTATGTTTACCTGCACAGGGTTTGCCCGGCCCCTCTGGCGAGAAGGGGGAAACAGGAGATGGGGGTCCCATGGTGAGTGCAGCCCGATGGAATAGGGCCCCAGGACTGTTAACCACCCCGACATCCAGGCTCCACCCCAGCCCCGTGACCACTGGCCATTCTGACTGCCAGCGGCCTCTCCTCGTTCTCCCTGCTGGCCTCCCGCCCAGCCCCCTACCCATCACCCTGGACCACCACCCCCTTTCTCTCGGTTTCCTTCCCCATCTCTGATGTATCTATCTGTACCTCCCCAGGGACCGCCTGGCCCCCCAGGACCTCGAGGCCCCGCTGGACCCAACGGAGCGGATGTGAGTCCTCTTTGCCCTTCAAGTCCTATGGTCAATGCCACGCCTTCTTTCCCCAGACCACGGCTCCAGCCTGGGCTCAGAGAAGTGGCTGAGCTCGGTCTTTCCTGATGGACCTCGGGGCCTCTTCCCAGCCTTGATGCTGTCAGTAGTGACCCCTATTCTTCTTCCAGGGTCCGCAAGGCCCTCCAGGAGGTGTTGGGAACCTGGGACCCCCTGGAGAGAAGGTAATTCATTGTGAAAGGGGTGATCGGAGAAGTTTTGTATTTTGGGGGACAATGAGAGTTGGGCTTGTACCCCTTTTGCCTTGGTGGGGCAGAATAAGATGAGATAGGAGGGAGCATTAGGGTTTATTTTTGGAGGAAAGACGTTTTTGACCTCAGTCTCCTTTCAGGGGGAGCCGGGAGAGTCTGGATCTCCAGGGGTCCAGGGGGAGCCTGGTGTCAAGGTGAGTGATAATGCCCAAGTCCCCGTGGACCTCACGCCCACCCCCACGATCCTTTGCGCCCAGGGCTATCTGCTCTCAGCCATTCCTTCGGAGGTCTGGCCCTGGGCCTGCGGGAGCTCCACTACCCCGTCTTTGAAGGGAAGCGGGGCCAGGGGAACCCCCAATGCTTCGGCTTCTGTGGGCTCCTCATGGTGATGGAGGGAGGGGTGTGGTGGAAGGAGGCTGAGGATGTTGTGGTAACAGGGGCAGCATCCCTGACGTTTAAGACTTCCACATGACCTTCTGTGCCCTCCACGCCTCCTCTAGGGCCCACGCGGGGACCGTGGGGAGAAAGGAGAGTCTGGACAGCCTGGGGAGGCGGGACCACCGGGGCCTAAAGGCCCCACAGGCGACGACGGTCCCAAAGGAAACCCTGTGAGTTTGTGAATGGGAGACCTGGGAATGCAGGTGTGTGCAGTGTAACCGCTTTGGAGTGTTAGGGACCCAGACCTGGCTGGGGGAGGGGGGTGCCTAGAGGAGAAGTTCTGGGAATGAAATTTCCTAGAAGGGATATAGGGGGGCCTAGGACCCAGAGTGTGGGAGAGGGAACGTGAGAGATGCTCCTAGTCAGTATCCAGGACCCAAAGAGAACCTGAGAGGCATGCCTCTGGTCAGTGTCCTGGAAGCATTCGGAGCAGGGGGCACACGAGGTGGAGAAAGGGGTGCACGGAGTGCATAGGGCCGAGCAGGGGCCCCTCGCTGCCTGTTGAGAGGGAGAGGGTGGCCCTCAGGGCCTGTGCTGGCTTTGGGTGGTCTTGGGGGGCTGTGGGCCTGACCTCTGTTCTTTTGAGTTAGGGTCCTGTTGGTTTCCCTGGTGACCCTGGCCCCCCTGGAGAAGGTGGTCCTCGGGTGAGTCTACCCAGGGAGGGGAAGGGCCTATGGAGGGTCAGTGGCATGAGGGTTGTGGGCACAGCAGGGAGGTCCTAGGATGGGAGGAGGCACAGTTTTCGGGGAGAGGCCAGCTGTATCCAGATCCACCTCTGACTTACCTTACCTCATCCCTGCAGGGTCAAGATGGCAACAAAGGTGACCGCGGGGAAGATGGAGAGCCAGGACAGCCTGTAAGCGTCCTGACACTTCCCTGCCCCCCTTGCCCTCCCCCCACCCCCAAAAAGGGCCCAGTTCTCCGGATTCCTTATCCCAAGTCTCTGCCCCGTTCTTGGGGGCACCCTTGGCTGGAAGGTAAGCACTCAGCCCTGCTATTTTCCCTCCCTAGGGATCCCCTGGCCCCACGGGGGAGAATGGACCCCCTGGACCACTAGGGAAGCGGGTAAGCAGGGGAGGCGGCCCCCTTGTTGGGGTGGGTGGAGGGGGCAAGGGCGGTGGGATGGGCAGGGTGGTTCTTGGGGTGGATGTGTGTGCGTCTCGGAGTGTGCTGGGATCTTTGGGGAACTTTGCTCCCGGGTGTTGGAATGCAGGCACTTGCCAGGGCTGGTGTTTGCTGACCAATTGAATGGGCACTGAAGGTCCATGCTGTGCCAGGGTTGATTCACTTAGTGGTTGCTGGGACCGGCGATGGGGCACTCGGTGGCGTGCGGGTGGCTCTTCCCAACATGTAGAGAATGTTTCTGTGTTTGGACAGCCTTACCCTCTGTGAACCAGCCCCTGGTGCGTGCCCGAGCACGTGCAAGGTTGTGTGTGTGTGCGCGTGCGTGCGTGTCCCCAGAAGAACAGGCCAGGAGGAAGCAGTGGGGCCTGGCCCACTACTGGTGTCCCTGAGTGATGTGAAGGAGCTTCCTGGCTTAAGTCCACCACAGCTGGAGCTCGGAGGAAAGGCCTGGAGATCTTGTCTGACGCAGCCATGGCACATGGGCTCACCATCTCACCTCTGCCGTTTCTTCTGTTCTCAGGGCCCTGCCGGCACGCCTGGGCCTGAGGGACGGCAAGGAGGGAAGGGAGCCAAGGTGAGGGAGGCTGTCCTAGACACGGCCATCCGCTGCTCTTGCCTCTCAGACCCCCCAGCTCTGGATGAGTTCCTCATGCCCCCCACCCCCCCATGTTGAGTCCCTTGTGGGACCCTGGCATCCCCATTCTTGCCGCTGGCCCCAGGGGATCCTGGGGCTGCGGCCTGGCCTAGCCGCTGCCTTGTACCCCCGTGTCCCAACCAACCTGCCTCCTCTGCCCTTTAAGACACAGCCCTTGTGTGTGTTTCAGGGGGACCCTGGAGCAGTGGGTGCCCCAGGGAAGACGGGCCCTGTGGGTCCTGCAGGCCCTGCTGGAAAGCCTGGCCCTGACGGTCTGAGGGGACTTCCGGGATCAGTGGTGAGTCATGGGGGCGTGGGGGTGGGGGGGGAGGTGTGGAGAGGAGCGAGGACACTGCTCCTGACCCTTGTGGGCCCCTCGAACCTGCAGGGTCAGCAAGGCCGCCCCGGGACCACGGGCCAAGCTGGGCCTCCAGGCCCCGTGGTGAGTGACCCCTGCTTGGGTGGGGTTGGGGGCCAGGGGAGGCAGTGGGATGCAGCCTGGGGGAAGTGGGGCATGGTGGGGGGAGAAATTGGTCAGCCCTCTGGAGAGAGTGACCTCCCCTCTCCCCCCAGGGACCACCGGGGCTTCCTGGCCTCCGAGGAGACGGCGGAGCCAAGGGAGAGAAGGTGGGTGCGACGTGTGGTCAGGAGTCTCTCCCGTCCCCCTCCCTGCTGGCAGCTCTGGGGGCTCTGAGAACCCCACTGTTCTGCTTCAGGTCTCCGGCCCCCAGTGCCAGGGTCTGGATTCACAGCCTCCTCCCAGCCCTGCACCTTTCTCTGTGGCTTCTGGTGCCCCTGCACCCCCAGTGTCTCCCCGCTGCACCCCCCGACCTCCTGCCCTCTTTCCAGGGTCACCCGGGCCTCATTGGACTGATCGGCCCTCCTGGCGAGCAGGGCGAGAAGGGTGACCGGGGGCTTCCTGGCCCTCAGGGCGCCCATGGACAGAAGGGAGAGACGGTGAGGGGGCGCTGGAGGAGGGCTGGGGGGCTCACATTGGGAATGGGGAGGAGGTGGAGGTGGAGACTCCGAGGTGGGGCGAGGGAGGGGGCACGAGGTGAAGCCGGCCCTCCTTTTCCTAGGGTATCCCGGGAGCGTCGGGCCCCATTGGTCCTGGAGGGCCCCCCGGCCTCCCTGTGAGTACCCCATCTGTTCCTCTACACCCCGTCACACCTGCCTCGAATCCGCCGGTAACCTCGGTGGCACGTGCCGGTCTAGCAGGCAGTGCCCACCTGTGGGTGGCCTCACGCCCCGAGGACTCCCTGCCCCACTGTCAGAGCTGTGGGGATGGTCCAAGCACGCCCCTCCTGCCCCCGGCGTGCCTCTCCCACGGTCACCACAACGCCGTGGACCCATCGCTGGCCTCTCCTTCGTCCGAGCCCCGTCCTGACACTGCGGTGACCGTGTCCTCCTTGTTCCTCATTCACAGGGACCTGCTGGCCCCAAAGGAGCCAAAGGAGCCACAGTGAGTGACCAGAGTCAGTTTTGACCTTTGACCCCGACTGCCTCTGCAGGGCAAAAAAAAAACAAACTCCCTCCTGTGGAGTCCTCAGTCCCCACGGATGACTGGCTGGACCTTGGTGTGATCTTGAGCCCACCCTTGACCTCCTGACCCCTCTGTGACCTCACTTACTTCCTTGACAGGGCCCCGGGGGACCCAAGGGAGAGAAGGGCGTCCAGGGCCCTCCAGGACACCCAGTGAGTGACAAGTTTGGGTGGGCTTCTTAGAAGAACCCTCGCTGTCCTCCCTGTATTGCTCTGCCTCCGGGAACCTCCCCCTGACATCCTCTCTGCCCTGGCCACCTGTCCCTCCCCGCAGGGCCCGCCGGGCGAGGTGATCCAGCCCCTGCCCATCCAGATGCCCAAGAAGACTCGGCGCTCGGTGGATGGAAGCCGCCTGATGCAGGAGGACCAGGCCGCACCGACCGGGGGCGCCCCGGGCAGCCCTGGGGGGCTAGAGGAGATCTTCGGCTCTCTTGACTCCTTAAAGGATGAGATCGAGCAGATGAGGCGGCCCACGGGGACCCAGGACAGCCCCGCCCGCACCTGCCAGGACTTGAAGCTGTGCCACCCCGAGCTGCCCGATGGTCAGTGCCAGCCTCAGGGGCATGCCAGAGGAGATACCAGTCAAATCTGAGCAGTGGCCTGGGCACTGAACCGCCGGAGAGGGGGCTGGAGCGTCGGGGGGAAGGTGTTGGGGTCCGGGTCGGGGCTGAGGGTCTCGGCACAGCTGAGGCATTACCATCTTTGCACACGTGACATGGTTCGGGCACAATGATTAAGGGCTTGGCTGCGAACCGGAAGGATGGTAGCTCCATGGTAGAAGCCACCAGTGGCTCCACGGGCGCTCTGCCTCCGTGAGGATGGCGGCCTGGGAAACGCCGTGGGCGGGGGCCACTGTGCACCGGGAGAGACTTAGTAGTACTTCCTGTGGTTAAACCACGGGGTACCAGCTCAACAGCAGCCCAGGCTACAGGCATGCGCAGGGGCTTCAAAAAGGTCATGGGAAATGGCATGCAAAGACAAGGGGACTCAGGCTTGCCCACGGCCACACCTTGTACGCGGTGGACACAGGCATGTGCTCCTACCCCCGCCCCATTCCTAGGCGCTTGTGCTACTGCTGGGGCTGGATGAGTGTCCCAGAACCGGGCAGCGACAGGGCAGGGGGGGTCAGGCCATGGGGAAAGGAAGTATCTAGGGGCTGTGAGGGCAGGGGAGGGGGAGTTGAAGGGCTAGGTGATTGAGAACATGGTGGGGCAGCCTCGGGGAGGGAAGTGAGGCTGTGGGACCTGCGGACCCAGAGGCTCCCTCTCTGCCCCCCATCAGGAGAGTACTGGGTTGACCCCAACCAAGGATGCGCTCGGGACGCCTTCCGGGTTTTCTGCAACTTTACAGCAGGAGGAGAAACCTGCGTGACGCCCAGGGATGATGTCACACAGGTGAGGGCTGCCCCCTGACCTCCCCTCTCCCCTGCCTCCCAGAAATGCCCCCCTTGGGGCTCGTGGTTGCCTGGCTATCAGACCCAAGCAAGCTCTGTGCCCTTTGCCCTGGCACAGCCTGCCATCCCGGCTGCCTTTCCAGGCCTGAGACAACGCTGTCTCCTTCCCTTGGCAACTTTCTAAATCTTCTTGTTGCCTTTCCTCGGCCCTGGTGCCCCGGCTCCTCTGCAGGCCTCCCTTGACCTTGCCCCCTCTTTCCTGCCAGTTCTCCTATGTGGACTCCGAGGGCTCCCTGGTGGGTGTGGTCCAGCTCACCTTCCTGCGTCTGCTCAGCGTCTGGGCCCACCAGGACGTGTCCTACCCCTGCTCTCGGGGGCCCAGGAATGACCCCCTGAAGCTCCGTGGGGCCAACGAGGATGAGCTGAGCCCAGAGACCAGTCCCTACGTCAAGGAACTCAGAGACGGCTGTCAGGTGAGAAGCAGAAGGGTTGGGTGGTGAGCCTTTGGGGCTGAGCCCCAGACGGTGAGGACGGAGGGGAGCCGGGGAGGCGTCCGGCTGGGGGTCGCTCTTGGTACGTGCTGTCCAGTCTGTTCGGATTCACCATGACCCTGTGAGGTCTGATCCTGTGACAGCCTCACTAGACTTCTCATGCCTGAGCCCGCTGCTGCAGCCACGGCGTCGACCCATCTTGTGGAAGCCCCTCCGCTTCTTTGCTGCCCCTCGACTTTACCACGCACGGTGTGTCCTTCTCCAGGGACCGGTCTCTCCTGACAACAAAGTACCTGAGAGAAAACCTCACCATCCTGCCTTCTCAGAAGCGTTCTGGCCAAACCGCTTCCAAGACAGATTTGGGTTTTTTTTGTCTTTTGTTCAATATTCTTCGCCAGCACATAATGCAGGCATATGGATTCTTCTTCGGTCGTATGCAAGGTCCAACTTCACAGGCATATGAGGCAACTGGAAAGACCAGGGCTTGGGTCAGGCACACAGAGTGACCTCTTTGTTCTTCAATACTTTCAAGAGGTTGTGTACGGTGCATGTGTCCAGTAAAAGGGTCCTCTGATCTCCTGACTGCCGCGTCCACGGGCCTTGTTTGTGAACCCAAGCAAGAGGAAATCATCCTTGGCACCTCCCATCTTTTCTCCGTTTGTCATGTTGTCACCCACTGGTCCGGCTGTGTGCATTTAGGGCAGGATGGAGAGTCTAGAAGGTGGACTCTGGGGACGGAAGCCAGATGCGGTCTGGTGGGATCCATGTGTGGGCACACGCACAAGAATCGCAGAGGGCAGGTCTTGTCAGCTTGCAAACACATGTACACACGGGCTGCAAGCCCACATGCCCACAGAGTCAAATCTCCATATGCGCCCCAGAGCCTGCTGGATGTTGTCACACAGCTCCACACACGTTCAGACTGTCACCATGTAGGTGCACCCACAAACATGGACGCACATCCACATGACCATGGATAAGATAAACCTACGGCTACAGACACATGCATACATACGCCGACCTTTCCCAATCTTAGGAAGGTGTTTCAGGAAGAAACTTAGCAGGTCTGTACAGGAGACATGGACTGAGGGAACCCTCAATGTCAGGGTGCTCGAAGGGGGTAGTGAGCTTGAAGTTGGGGGTCCCTACGCTTCCACCACACTCAAGCTTCTTCCCCTCTCCTCCTCGTCCAGGTGCAGCAAGGCCGGACAGTGCTGGAGGTGCGGACGCCCGTCCTGGACCAGCTGCCGGTGCTGGATGCCTCCTTCTCCGACCTGGGGGCACCCGCACGGCGGGGAGGGGTGCTGCTGGGACCCGTCTGCTTCATGGGCTAGGACCTTGTCGACCTGACCCTGTCCATCGGAACCAGGCCCACCTGGAATCCCACAGCATCAGCCACGTGCCACCTCCCAAGAGAGCCTCTCACCGTCTAAGAGGCTGTGGGCCAGGCACTGAGAGCCCCCCTGCCAGGGGCAGCCCCGGGGAGGGGTGAAGTGGGACTTGGGACCCCTGGGGGGATGAGGGGTGGCACCTGGGGCTCTTGGCCCTCCCATCTGGTGCCTGTGACTTGTCAGAGAGCTGAGACCCTTATTTAAAACTCACTTCCCAACCCCGCTAAACACGTGGGCGAGAAGAGAAAGGACACTGTGTATTTTGTATTTAAAATGAATTATATTAATTATTTAAAGAGCGGAAAATGAAATAACAAAAGAGATAAGAGAAATGCCAATAAACAGCAGCGGATGCTGGAGACAAGGCTGTCCAGGGGTGAGTCCCAGGCACCCCATCCATGCCTCAGGGCCTTCCTCAGTGACCGTGCGGGCGAGTCTGGGCTGAGCCCACCCCCAGGGACCACAGCACCTGTAGCACCCACTGTGAACCTTGGAATATATGGCCTCCTTTGCCTCAGGGCTCTGACTCTCTCTCCCCAGGGTGGGGCTCTTTCATCTCTACCTGCCCGAGTTTGCTTCCTGGACCCGAGTGCTTGCTGTCTTTTATTGATCTGCGTCTGGCAGGGACCCCCTGGGGAGGAGTCAGTAGTAAAGGGACTGGTCTGGGTGCATAGTTAGCAGGTTGTTGGAATGATCTAAGTTCTTCTGTGGGGTTAATGCCTGGCCTATGAATTGGGGAGGGGCAGAGGGGGGGACATGCTCCAGGTCTCTATCATGTGATGGCGTCCTCAGGGGTGGGGTGGGGTGGGGTGGGGTGAGGGGTGGGGGGGTTGAGGGTGAGGTGCTATGTTACTCCTCCTTCCCAGCTGAGCACTAACTAGGTGATTAGAATCTTTAGGGACCTGAGCATCAAGTACAGGATTACAGACCCCAGTGACAAACCTAGGCTCATAGGACATTGGGGCTCAGGGTCCCTATGGTCCAGGGCTCTGTCTGACATCAGTGGGGGGATGGTTTCTGGGTGAGGATGGGCCTACATCAACCTCCCCCATCCCAGACCTTTAGGAACGTCAGGGCTGGAAGGATCCTTCAACGACTCATCCGCCTCTCTGCCCGTGGGAATCTTTAAGAGAGCAAAAGCCTTATCTTTCTTTCAAGAAGCAGCTGCGGTTTTGAACCGCTGACCTGGCAGGTCAACTCATAACCATGGGGGCCTCCCAGGCTCCTTAGAAGGAGCCTTAAGTGGTCTCATCTCCTTGCAGATGAAGAGACTGAGGTGCACTTCCAAGACAGCTCTTTAGCTCATTGCCACCCCTCTCCGTTTGGGATGTCCTGAGCAGAGAGCAGAGGCTGAGGCCAGGCCCTGGACCCTGGGAGCAGGCCAGGCCCCATCACTGGAGGCGCCGGCTCCTGCCCTGGCCATGTGTGCCTTCCCCTCCTCTCCACTCTGGGCCAGCCTCATCCCTCTCCTCCCCAAGCTGCGCCTCTCCCAGCCTGTCCAGCAACTCCCTGCCTCAAGGGCCAAGGTCAGGGTCAAGGTCAGGTGTCTGGTTGGGCCCCTTCTACTTAGGGTTGGCCGCCTCCACTTTAGGGGCTTCACCTTCTCACAAGGTCCTCGAGGGCAAATGAAGCCTGGGCTTTGAGCCCCACCCCATTTCCTTGCTGGACTACTGGTTGCTGCAGGGCTGGGCGGGGTCGGAGGGAGAGAGAGAGCAGCTGCCTTGCACCCTTGACCCGGTGTCTCCTTTCCTCCGGAGACTACTGCTAGGATCCCTGAGGGCGGCTACCCGAGCATCTCCTCCCTCAGTGCCCCTGGAAACGGATGCCTTGCGGTCCTGCACCGCCTGGGCAGGGTGCGGTGGGGGTGGGAGAATGCGGGGAAAGCCTCCTCCCCCAGGGCGTGCCCGAGAGCAACTCCCCACCTCTGCTGCCCACACGAGAGCAACTCCCCACCTCTGCTGCCCACGCGCCAATGGACTTCCAGGACTTGCCAACCGGTCAGCGGCATACTCAGTCCTTCCAAATCCCCAAGCCCAATCCCTGGCCATCCACTCCATTCCTCCTTAAGGAGGCTGCAAAGGGGAGTGGACGGCTCCTTAGGGTTTCCGAGCTTCTTTCTTCCACGGAACAGCCAGTGGTTTTGAACCCCAAACCTTGGGCTGGTGGTTCATAGCCCAACACTTTACCCACTGTGCCATCAGCCCCTCAGATCCCTGGACTGCTATTCTTCCTTCATCACCCACTAAATTCCCAATCTCCCAACCCAGAAGGAGGCCGAATGGAGGGAGCCCCCGCCGAGGTCTTGTCTAGCGGGGGGGCCAGTGGTGGGTGGATGGGGTATCTGGAGTCTCGTTTTATCTTTCCCATGTCCAAGGCTCGGGGCTGCAGACACGCTCACTCTGCACCCACCGGCCTGGTCCCCCGCGGGGCCACAGCTCCAGAGAAGGTCAGATCTGGACCCATCCGCACCCACTTCCAGCTTGGCCTGGCCAGGGGGAAGCTTCCTCGAGCGGAGAGTGCCTTGCCTTCAACCCACAAAGGTCACTTCCAGCGCACGAAAGGGAGTGTCCCCTCCAGGTCACCTTTGGCCAGATACTCTGGCTTTTCTCCATGGAGAGACAAGGCCACCCTGCCACTCACACAACATTTACACGGCGCCAGCTGGGTCCCCAGGCCAGTCCACAAAAGCCTCTTTGACCAAAGTGCCAACCCACTCCACACAGCCGTTTTATGAGCGATTCTGTGCCAAGCTGCCGCTGCAGATGCCAAGGCCAAGTCCTGCCCCTTGCCTTGGGGACATCTTCCTCCCCTCCCCCAGGCTTGGGCCCAGGCTGAGGCAAGGTGGGAAAGCGTTTAAGGGCAGCGCTCCACAGCGGGCAGCTGCAGGGTGGGGTGGGGTGGGTGTGGGTAGTGCAGGTGCCCTGACATTCAGGCATGTGGTTTCAGAGGGTTCTGGGTAAAGGAGGCTTCTGGATGGGGTGGGGAGGAGGTAAAAAGAGTCAGGGGCACTTTGGGTCCCTGGGTAACGGAGGCTTCTGGATGGGGTGGGGGGGAGGTAAAAAGAGTCAGGGCCACTCTGGGTCCCGTGCCCACGTAACACAAAGCCTTGTGGGAGGGGCTGAGTTGTCAAGTCTTGGGTGTCCTTCAAAGGAGTTTAACTGACACCCCCCCCCCATAACTCGGGGGCAGTCATGGATGGCTTTTGCAAAGGAAAGCGATAGCGTAGGATTGTGGGCCAGCGGGCGCTGCCCAGGCTGGAGGAGGGTATTTGTGGCGCTGGAGGCAGGCTCAGGGCCAAGAGCAGGTTTGGAGGCCCAGGGGAGGAAGTGTGGGCATGGGAAGGGCAGTGAGACTACAGAGAGAAGGCCGAGGGGAGGAGGCCTCGTGCCCGGCCACACCCTCAGGGCGACTCCTCAGCCATGCTCGGATATTTTTGGCATCTGTGATTTGCGGGCAAAAGGAAGCTTACCAAACATGGAACTCCCCCCCTCCGCCAACCCCCGAGTTCTCGGGTGGTGCAAACAGTTGAACGTTCAGCTGCCAACGGCAACATGAACGTGTGCGTCCACCCAGAGGTGCCTCGGAGCAAAGGCCTGATGATCTACTTTAGAAACATCAACCACTGAAAACGGCGTGGAGCGCAGTTCTACTCCGGCACCCAGGGGCTCCTCATGAGTCAGAACGGACTCAATCACAACTGGTCTGATTGGGTTTTTGATTCACATCCTTGAACCCTGGGCACTGCAGAGCCTAGAGAGCCGGGGAGTACTCCCTCTGCTTTTGCCCTGCCTGGGCGGTGTTGCATGCTGGGACTTGTAGTTTTTGAATGGAGCAGGGCTGGTGTGGGTGGGGAGGAGACGGGGAAGGGGGTAGGTGTTGGAGGGGTGGTGACTCGGTTTTGTGGTGTGCAGCCCCTGTTCTTCAGGCTTCTTGTGGGCAGCAGGAGTGCCAGCGTCCTGTCCCCCGACTTGAGGGCCCCGCTTTCCGTGTGCAGGGTGGGGGCACCCTGGCTGGTTCTCCGCTCAGACCTCCGGGAGGGCGCAGCAGCCTCTGTTACCTCCTCTCTCATCTTTAGGGTGGCCTCAGTGATGTGCTAGCAGACGGCCCTCCCAGTAAGGAAGCCCAGGCCTTGAAGGGGCATCAGGGACATCTGTAGCTGTGCCCTCTGTAGGGTCACCCCAAACAACTAGGCTGACAGAATAACATCAGTTCTCATCTCGGGGACAGCCACCGGCCCACCACCCCGCCACCACTCCGCCTCAGCATCTCGGTCCATTTCTGGGTCCTTTGCTCTGGTCTCTCTATCAGCAGCACCCAGTTTCCAGGCTGACAGGAGTCCCTGGGCGGTGGAGTCCGCGGTCAATGGATGCACTTGGCCACCTACTGAAAGGTGCTAGTCCATCAGGACTCAGAGGCTGAGCACGGGGTGGCTTCTCCTGACTCCAGTAGGCCTGCGCGGAGCTGCGACTCACCAGTCAGGGCTGGTGACCTCTTTTTGGAAAACCAGCCACTGAAAGTCCTGTGGAGCACAGGGCCGCCCTGCGCTGGCGTTGTCTCGGCGACCAGGGTTTGGTTTGGGATTTGAAATGTCCAGGGCAGAGGTCTTTGGACTTCCAAGAAGTGGGTGGCTTCTCAAAGCGTACCATTAAAGGACCGTTGGACCTTGCGGCATTTCCAGGGGCCTGAACTTCATGAAGAGGCATGTTCTAGGCCCATGTTTTATCTATGGAGAGGGTAAACGGAGCATTTCCCTGAGGCCTGGGGGCCAGAGCGTCTCAGACAGGGAGTTCCAAGGTGGCAAGTGGTCTAGGTTTGAGGAGGTTTCAGCTGCGATGGAACCTAGGGGTGAAAGGGACACTGCTATTAGCTGGCAGGAGGACTCTGTTTTCCTAATAAGAGCTTCCCCTTTGTTTAGTCCACGGCTGCTGCTTCTAACTGGGTTATTCCACTAATATGCCCACCAACTTCCTGCAGGAGATGGGCATAGGCTCTGCTCTGTAAGGGAAGGTCAGACTGCACTGGGAAGAGAAGGGAGGCCCCTGACCAGGCTCTCCTGGCTCCCTCTCCTGCCTTTGGAGATTGTGGCCGCTCTGGGGGCGGGGCATGCTGCTTCCTCTGTGCACTTCTACTACTGCTAGCAACCCCATAGTACTTAGGTTTCTTTTTGTTCCCAACAGTAGGATCTGATTCTGAATCACTGAAACTCCAAAGGGAATTGATTCTAAACGAGATTGGGGGATGGCAGGAGAGGCTGGCTCAGTAGAGAAGAAAGAGGGCATTGTGGGCGCCCCAGCAGCAGGGGTTCATGGACTCCGTCCCCGCAGCAGCACCACCACGAACACCCCTCTGTGGAGCTCCTTTCATTCAACCTCCCTCTGGGTCCCCCAGTTCAGATTCCTGGAGCCACAATCGGGTAGGCATGGAATGGATCTGCTGACTCCATGTGAGCCGATTTTCAATGACTGGGTACCCAGAAGAGGGTCTGGGGTCAAGGTGGTGGTACTATTTCCAGATAAA